GGGGGGGGGGGGTAGGCGAAGGCTCACCCACGTCATCAGCCAATCAAGAAGAATCAGCAGGAGGTTTGGTGCGGTTGATTTTTTGTCGCGGACGGGGAGCAGCTGAAATCAACACCACCGCCCCCAATGAAGCATTGAGGATCGATCGGAAAGTCGAGGTTAAGTCAACCGCACAGCAGTATCGGGGATGAGGTGCGTCGAAAACGAGTCCGCGTGTTGGCACAGCAGCGGGGGAGACCACAAGTACCAGAGAAAGGAGAACGTAACGCGCAGTGTTAAGTGAATGCTTGGATCCACGAGCTCAACACAGTCAATTCACTCAACCCCTCCGTTTCCGCACTTTCGCAGCCACGACAGACATAATCACCCCCCATGCCAACCGAAACGACAAGTTACCAGTGGTTCCCCTTCATGAAAGTTTTAAAAATAGACCACCGCATTTTATAGGGCGGACCAGAGTGTTCTTAGCGATGGTACGCACACCGCTCTGGCAAAACCTTCCGCATTCAGAAAAACGAAGGAGCGGTCACATCCACCCACAACACGCTGACCGAGCGACTCGAAACACAAAACGTCAAGACGCACCTCTATTTTGTTGCATGAAGTAAAGAAACGAAACCCTTGCCGTGCTGGGAGAGCCTCGTTCTACTCCATTTTCCTGCCAACCTACCTCCTACCTACCTACCTACCTACCTACCGCCGTTCGCGTACCCCTAAGGATTCATGCGCTCGTGTCGTTGCGCATGCTCTGCTTCGGACGCATGCGTGGAGCAAAATCAGCAAACCACAAAACGATTTGCAATAACCAAGCCTTGTCACACGGGTTCTTTACGTCTGCCCCAAGGCCTTCCGGGAACAAGTAACACACGAAGCAAGCACAAAAATCTAACCGTTATTTGCATTTAAGGGTGAGGGAATAGGGGGGTGGGGGGGAGATAGACAACGAAATTTTAGACGAAAGGCACTATGCTGGTGTTGCCGCTACCTCCGAAAACGCAGCACAGCAAGGCAAGCGAGTGCACGCCTCCTTCCGTTTTTCGCCTTCCCCGTGCCGTAGGAATCGGGACGTCGCCTCTCTTGTGACTCTAATGGTCTCGAGTAAGAGTCTGCGTGAGGCAAGCAACCTTCGTCCCGTCCTGACCGTTGGAGCCGAGGGGACTGCTTCAACTAGGCTATCGAGCGTGCCTGCCTGCTTGCGCGGTTCCCATATTCACTGATCTCGCGCCCGCACAATCCGCCCCAAATCCATCATCGATCATGAATAGTATGATGGTGTGTCCTCGTTGTCGTTGGCTCACATCATCACATCAGGACCTAGGCCTACGGGTCGGCAGTAGGACGACATGATCCCTCTCAAAAATCACGAGCAAACAGACGGCCAACGCCACCCGGCTGATGCTGTAGGCATCCAATCAACCAATCATGCCGATCCTAGGCGACATACGGCTGGCACTACCTGCGAAGGCCTCTATGTGCCGGGCTCCCAGCTGTCGATGCTCAATCCTCCCCCCGCCTTCAAAGACCGGAAGGTGCCCGAAGAGGTCGTACAGAGGCATATACTACGAAGACGGACGCATCTTCTTGGTGGTTTTGCTGTTGAGCGTGCCCTGCTGGTCCAGAGTCTTGGCCACGTAGTCAAACGGCACGACCTTCAAAAAATAAATCAAATCGCGCAGAGGCACAGCAGAGGGTACGAGCTTACGCACAGACGCTAACAAGCACGATTTGATGCGATTGTCGGATTGAATCGCCTTACGGTGTGTATTGTGCAGCATACATTTTTGTTTCGGTGTAGATTAAGAGGCAAGACACGAGGTAACCTACGTGTGTTGCGCGCAGCGTTTATGGTTTTGAGTATGGAGACACTTGGGCTGAAAAACGGTCACATCACCCGGCGGTAGGCGGAAAAGTAGGGTTGGGTACTGAACCAGTACGTACTGCCAGTGCATATGCACTGGCTGCGTCAGCAGCCAGTACTCCAGTACATTCTTATATTCGCAGATTTCCTCTGTATTTCGGTTGGGTAGCTTTGGTGCTGTTCGTATCTGTAGCATTCTGCATTCTAGCAAGCTGGTGCTTCAATTGTTGCGCACCTCCTGTCGTTTCCCGTTTCCTGGTTAGCTTTTTACTTTTTAGCTCTTAGCTGGTTTCTTGGTATACGTTCAGGGCTGCCGTGTCGTTGTGTCCTTCGTAGAGTCCAGTATACGATAGCGTCGCTCATCAACCCAACTGATGGATGCCACTTGGTTGCTTGGGAGTAATATTATAATGTTTCAATATTTCCTCATGTCCAAAACCAACAAATTCAGTCGTTGAACTCGAACTTTCTATCGTTTTCCCCGCGATAGTGCCTCTGTCAGATGGGCCAAAATCACTCATTTTTTTTGCTCGAGTGAAGCCAAATCGCGTACAAAAGCGCCTCCGGCAGGGCGCCTCCAGCGGGGCCCTCCGGGGCGCCGCGACCGCGCGGCTTCGCCGCGCCACCAGTGTACTGATCGGATCCAGTTTACTGGCTGCTGACGCAGCCAGTATACTTTTTACTGGCGCGCAGCGCCAGTACCCAACCCTACGGAAAAGGGATTCAGACAAACACAAGACACGCTGCACGCTTCACGGGCTCCGCCTTGTCTATCTCCCTGGCGTTGGAGAGCAACACAGGCAAGCTTCCCAGGAACGACTAGGAACGGCGAAAAATCAAAGAGTATTCACGTGGTTTACGATCAAGACCACCGGCCGTGTGCGGCTCATCACGTGATAGGTTCTCTGACAGCACAGCAAACGATATAAAACGAGGCGCATGAACGGTAAGCAAGGAAGATGGCGGATTCTGCTATCGCTCTCTCTCTCTCTCTCTCTCTCTCTCTCTCTCTCTCT